TAAAGCGGTTCGCTCTTCCTATAATGGAAACTGGGTGATTTCAATGAACCAGACAATCTTTGAAATGACTAGCCAGCTTTACAGCACTTCCACTTTATGTGGTTTATCAGGAGTTTCTTCTTTCTCGTTCCATTTGCCACCAGGAAATCTCTGTGCAACTATATTTTCTGACATCACCGTTGCCAATTCCCAAGATGTAGAGCGAGTTTGGATACGAGCCTGCTTCTGTCCTAATTCTATTATACACACCAAGTAAAACCTGTGATCTGGTCAACTTCATGGGAGGCAATGAAGCTGCATCCATGTATGGAGCCAAATTTTACAGTTTGGACCCCTTTCTCAAATGAAGCAATAACATTAATAAGGAGCTTTACCACCCAAAGGATTCCAACACCTACTGATCTAGTTGTGCACAATTCTCATCCCACCAGTGCCTTACCCTGACAAGCCATGGGCAGCCCATGGAATGCAAGTTGCCCACCACTGCTCTGTAGGGAAGCATGTAATCAGTCTTTGACAGTCTGCTTTGAGTAAGGTGGGGTGAATTATGAATCTCTGTTTTTGGGAACTGCCTATTTTGGGTCCTTGTGTGCTAAGGTTCTGAAGTCTAAGAAATAAAATAATTTACACTGCAACCTTCTTGCAAGAGTATTTTAGGTTTTTATTTAACTTCCCTGTGCTGTGAAATCTAACACTCTCTACCTTTCACATGTCATCTGTCAGCCAAGGCACCCCTTTCTCTGGCCAGCAATTTTGAAAATGAATCAAAATGGCGTGACGTGTGTTTCCCTCTGGCCTCAGAAATACTCTTTACTGGACAATAATGTCTGCATGTATGAGTGCTTGAGAGGTTAAGGAAGAGAATACCAGGTTAATGACTTTTCTGTATTTTGGATCAGAACAGAGGCAGGGTAAAAGATAGTTTGATTACTTCTTTATAGCACCATTAGAATTTAATTCCAGTGTTATTTGACTTTCAAGTTACAGCGCTTTCATGTTCTAATGCAATGAATATAAGTGGCTAATACAAGATGCTGATCAAATATACTAGGTGGCTCCTATGTACAGAACACTTGTACTGAGTCAAAGAAACTTATTACGAACAATGAACTGAATTGCATACCTGCCTGACAGCCTTCTTCCCCTTGCAAAACTACCAGAGCAGAAATATCATGCCAGAAAAGTGGAACCTACAGAGGTGGGCTGTCCAAGAGCTTGTTAAATGTATACTGTACATTCTTTTATGCAGGCAGAGGGGTGGATTAAAGGATCCTTGCACTCTGGACTCCATAGTGAGAGGGGATCAGGAGACAACAATGAACAGTGATACGTAACAGCTGATTGCTACTTGTAGCCTTTTTATTGCCTGGCTCATCTATAAGTTCTAACCCTTCACATTTCCTCCTGTCCCTGCAAGAATGCAATATTTTTTTAAAAATTTACAGGAACCTGATGGTGTTCAGTGGAATTCACCAGATGGGCAAGAAATCCTTGAAGTCTTTTAAAGGTTCATGACTGTAGGAGAAGAGCAGTGATTTGGAAGTGGGTCAAAAACACACCTCATTTCTTGGAACTGGAATTACACAATCAGGCAGCAGCAGAGAACAAAAGAAAAAACAACAACAGTGCAGTACTGCGTTAAATGTAAACTACTTTTTTTTAAAAAAGGGAAAGCAGTATTTTTCTTCTGCATATTAAAGTTTCAAAGCTGTTTTAAGTCAATGTTTAGCTGTTGTTTGAAAGAACAACCACAGCATTTTGTTCAGAGTTCCAAACATTTCAGAGTCATGAACTGCCATTCCCATGATGTTTGTAACTCTGAGGTTCTACTGTAATACACCTCTACATTGACTTTGGCACAGGAGGTCCAAAATCCTGAAAAGGGCAACAAAAATTATTAGGGATTTGGAACAGGTGCCATAGGAAGAGAGATTAAAAAGACTGGGACTTTTCATCTTAGAAAAGAGGAGACTAAGGGGGGATATGATAAAGGTCTATAAAATTATAACTGGTGTGGAAAAAGTGAATATGAAAAAGTTATGTACTTGTTCCCATAACATAAGAACTAGGGGTCACCAAATGAAATCAATAGGTAGAAGGTTTAAAACAAACAAAAGAAAGTTTTTCTTCATGCCAGCCTGTCAACTGTGGAACTCCTTGCCAGAGGATGTTTTGAAGATCAGGACTTTAACAGAGTTCAAAAAAGAATTAGATACATTCATGGAGGTTAGGTCCATGAATGGCTATTAGCCAGGATGGGTAGGAATGGTATCTCTAGCCTCAGTTTGTCAGAGGCTGGAAATGGATGACAGGACAGGGATCACTTGATGATTACCTGTTCTGTTCACTACCCCTCTGGGACATTGGGCATTGTCCACTGTTGGAAGATTGGATACTGGGCTAGATGGACCTTTGGTCTGACCCAGTATGGCCATTCTTATGTTGTTATGATATTGGCTTAAAAGCATGAGATTTAAAAAATAATGTTTGGGATTCTTTTCATTTGCCTGATGTTGTTGAGTCTTTACGTTTCACATTTTCAAGTTTTTCTTCACAACCACAATAGGGAAAAAACAATTAAAAACCAACCAACCCTCCTGAACAGTGAGAGTAGTACACGCCTGACTGCAAGAGCTGAGACTTTAACAGAGACACCAATGCTGCATGATCTTGCACAGAGAGAGGACAACACAAGGTGCAGGGCACCAGTGAATCAGGCTCTAAGGCCAAGATTATGACAGATATTTAGGTATCTACCTTCTTGACTTCAATAAGAAGGCACCAATATATGTTTGAAGACTGTGACCTAAGTGATTTCCTGAGTGCTACAGAGGGACAGTCAGGGTCAAACCAAGGTTAGACTTTGGAATTATTTTATCATCTCTCTTTTGATTGTCTGGCACTGTAGTGTCAACGGTTAAGGTTCTTGTCTCCTAGTTGTGTGATCCGACAACTGTATCTCTCCCCAGCAAATATATAACAAAGGCAATAATAATTTACAATCCAGAGAGACCAAGCACCAGATTTTCACTGGTTATACTGGACTGAGCCCAGTATAATTCCATTGAGTTTAAAGGCGTGGCAGTGGCATACATTTAGTGTAAGGCAGTGAGAACCCCCCCAAGCACTATTAGTCAAATTTCACCGTGAGGGTCTTCCCACTGCAATAAATAGACTAACTTCGGCCGTTATCTCTGCATCTGTTTGGAAAAGCTCAAGTACTCTAGCAACGGAAGATCAATGTATTGTTACTATTAACAAATCTCAATTGGATTATTATTAATAATAAAGCTGCACTTAAGGGTAAACAATAACTTAACATAATTTGATTCTCACGTTGCCGGGTTACTGATTGGCCATTCATGTACCAATGCCCCGAACAGTTATTTCCCTTTCAAAATAAACAAACCTGCAAATAAAGAATTGCAGCAAGTGCAGGTCCTCTCCTGCCTGTGATTGGATCGGGCTGGCGGTGAGATCACGGGGGAGGTTGGACTGGAGGCAGGGAGGGTGGTTTGCGACAGCGCCTGGAGTGGAAGGATATTAACCAGTGAAAGTCTAGGGGGATTGAGGGTGCTTGTATCTGCTCCAGCTTCCCTGGGCCACGCTACGGGGGTAAGTAGCAGCGATGGAATCTTAGAAACGCTAACGTTCTGTTTCCGAACGTTCGCTACCGTGGCCTCTTGGACACATGTTCCCCAGAGGGGGTTCAGCCCAGTTTGTAGAAAGGGTGGGCTTCACGTTTGGGGTGTATGCAGAGGGGCTGGGGGTGCACTCTCGGGGCAGGGGAAGAGGTGGGGAGGGGAGGGGAAAGTGATCCGGTTTCTTTTCACTGATCGGGGTTGCTTTGTTGTTTGGTCTTAAGCGTTTGTTGTATTTTCTCTTAGGAGATTAGTTAATCTTTCAAGGGATGGGTGACTGGAAGCGGGGAAACGGAAAAAGGATTGGTGCCTGGCTCCTTTTCCCCTCCCCCTTTGCTCTGGCCACTGCAGATCTCCGGAAAAAGAAGGGTTATACTTGGGGGGGGGGAGGGGGAGCTCGTGTCTGAGTGTAGAGGAAGTAAGTGGGGCATGAATCAAAGTTTATTGCGGGCTGGTGGCGGCTTGATTTAAAATCGAAGGGGAACACAAATCGTAGATCAACACTTAATCTACTCTTACATTGAAAATCTGTTGTTTTTTTTTCAAATATACTTGTCCCTTCCCCCAGCAAACAAGTTCTAGCAGAAGAGAAGGAAAGCACTATTTTCTGTTGCAACCTCTGGAATATGCTTGCCACCCTTTTCCCCCGTTATATACCCTGCACCGAGTCTAATCTGATTGCTTGGGTGAGAACCAGAAGAGAATCCAGTGGGAGAGGATGGGGCATGAGTTCCTTTCTCACGAGACTCAACCCCTCTGCCCTTCTCTCAGCTCCCTGGCCTTGAACTAGAAACCGTGGTGACGGGGTAGGGGCAGCAACTGCAGAAAGACCGCTTTTGTTTAATTGAGCCTTAAAAGAAAGGAACTTTTGTTGGGGCAGCAGCAGAGAGAGGAAAAAGACTCCTGGCAGAGTCTGGACATTAACAGCCTTGATTAGTTCAATTAGAAGAAATAAACGACAATAAATCAGCCACGCTGCCTTCTAGCTAACAAAAAAGGTCCAATGTTTCTCATTTGTGTTTGTCTCTGGCAGGCAGCAGCTTCTGATCATGAAGAAGAAAGCAAAGGCTTGGAGCGGAGGCTTGGATCCTTGGCTCTGAGCCACATGTTGTATGTAGCACCCAAAGCCAGGAGAGATGTGTGTTCCATAAATAACTCTTGCTCACACATACTGTGCCATGAGCTTAAGACCTCTGGAGACAGGGATGATTTTGTTTTGAGATAATCTCTCTAAGCGTGCCAGTGACACAACTGATCTTTGGGGAGGGGGAATGGAGGACTATACAACCAGAACCTATGGCACCCATGGACTGGACAACAGACCTCTCTTTGGAGAAACTTCAGCAAGGGTAAGACCTGACTCCACTTTGAAGAGATCTCTGACCAGGAACGCTGTCCTTTCTGAAGCTGCGGTAGAGTTACTCAGAGTTTGGCAAAAGCAGTTTTTGGAGTATTTTTGTGCAAGATCTAGCTTACTCATTTTGAGAGTTACAAATTGTGCTTTCTCCCCCAGTGTTTTTTTAAGTTGAGTTGCTCCAGCAAGAAGTACTTCCACACCCGTAATGGCACTTCTCAGATGTACAGTTGCCTCTAAAAGGCAGGAGGCTGAGCGGGATTTTGTTTGATCTACAGGCACAGAGGCCAGCCACTGGAATTATTTGCAGTTTGAAGAGTCCTTCAGAGCCTCTGTAGGATCCTAGGTCAGCGTGGCAGTTGTGGCTGCCTTGCACAGGGTCATCTAAAAAATGAATGCTATGATTGTGCAATGGGGATGGCGTGTAATGTGGTCATGACTTGCCCAGTTGTGAGGGTGATCAGATAGTAAGTGTGATAAATCATCACACTTCCGTTTTTTTCTTTTGCAGGGTGGATATAGTTGCATATTTAAATCAAAGGCCCTAATAACAGGACTTCTGGTCATCCTACCAGCTGCATATGCCTAGCACATGGTGTTTGTTGCTCAGTCTTGTGGGATCTTCTAATAATGGGCTCTTTGTGCTCCAGCAACTTGGCAAAACACGATGCCATGGCAAATTTACATCCAAATTCTCTGGTTTCGTGGGATTATTTCAGAAGGGGGCAGGGATTGTCTCTTAACTTTTTTTTTTATTGAGATAACTATGGATTTGTGAGTGGTGGACTCAGCATCTGACTGGAGGTCCACACGCTAGAGGCATGGAGGAACAGGAATTCTTGAGAGAGTCAATCAAGCTCCCTATCTTGGCTTCATCACCTTTGAAATGGTGGGAATATCTACTTGCTAGGGTACGGTGAGGATTAATTAGAAAATGTTCACCTCATGTTTTGAACATGAGCTGCTTTATGGGAGATACTAAGGTACAACTAAATTCATTGTAAATTAGTGGTGGTAACTACTTCTTGTAAAGGTGCTTACACTAGTGAGGGTTTAAGCATTATCCATTAGGCACAATAAGAACAGTGCCTAGGACCTACAAAAAATTAGGGCCTAGAAAATACATCATTGACTTGAAAAGAAAATTCCTAAATCAAACTTAATTTGCTGTCGTTAGTCAACAACTAACATAGTTATATAACACGTTAACTATTAGGTGTATAGGTGATAGAGCAGTTCTCCCTTTAAATTAGATTACATATAAATATATAAAGGCCTATGATTATGAGACTGCCTAGAGCCTACAAAGACCCTGGGTGGATAAATCCCAGGTTTGGCTCCTCTGTAATGCCTAAGCTTACTCGGTGCTTAAATTTTCAGGTAAAAGTTTGCTCTGTGCTGAAATTTTGCCTCTGGGTTCGAACTCTGCTGCCTCACTCTTGGGCTGTGTTTACACTGGGAAAGGTTGGTGAAGAAAGTGCTGTCGACGTGCGAAAGTTGCCTGTCAAACTAGTTTTTCTGCTTCCTATTGTCGACATGGCCACACTGACAGTGTGGGTGAGCATCCCACAGTGCAATGCTGCGGGAAGGCAGAGCTGACCCTGTGCTGCTTGGGAGAACTCAGAGTATCCCATAGCGTTCTCAGGCCCTGGGAGCAGCATTGTGAGTCGCTCTGTGAGATCTCCGGGCTGAGGAATGTCAAAGCAGCACAGCATCTGTCCCCCTCCCCCTGCAGCAGCAGTCTGCCTGCCACTGCATTCCTAGTGCAGAGCAGAACAGGAACTGTCCAATGATTTGTTCTTTGTTTGTTCCCCATAAGAAGCAGCTCACTCAGCTGTCAGATACTCCTCCGGAGCTTTGAAAGGGGTGGGCTGCACGCCTGCAGGTCGGGTTGCCAGGTGTCCAATATTGACCCGGACAGTCCGGTATTTTCGCCGCCTGTCCTGTAAAAAAATTCAGAAAATACCGGACACCTGAAATGTCTGGTATTTTCTGTTTTTTTTTCCCCCCTGCCAGGAGGCAAAAATACCAGACACCTGACAACCCTAAGACATGCTTGGCAACTGGGCCCAGCCCCCCCGTCACCCGCTCCCTCTGCTTCTCGGGGGGGAGGGGTGAGCTCGATCAAGAAAACAAGATGGCCACCAGCAAAAAGACCTGAAGCATGGAGAAGCAATGCCTTCCCTGGGTCTTAGTGCTCAACCTCTCCCCTCTCTCACTTAAAGGGGCCATACTGTTTTAATGTTGTTTTATTTTTTTTGCTTAATAACTTTCAGGGTCCCTTTTTTTTCCCCCCGGTATTTTTTTTCCCCAGTGGTTTTTTTTCCCCCTGGTATTTTTGGTTAAACCATCTGGCAACCCTACCTGCAAGGCAGCAGGGATCAAAACAACGGAGCAGAACCAACAGGGCAGGCATTGTGAGATATTGTCAGAAGCTAGTTCTGTCCATTTAAAAAAAAAAAAAAAAAAAAAAAAAACCCCCCAGCAAAGTCTATGCTGGCTTTTTGTTGACAATTCAAAAAGGGGAAAAAGAAAAAAAAATTCTCTCATGTGTGAAAGTTTTGTTGTTGCCAACCGTGGGTGTTTTTCCTGACAAAAGTTGCCTTCAAGAGTGAATGCTCTTGCTATTTTGTCGACAAAAGGCAGTTTTTGGCGACAAAACTTGGTAGGGTAGACAAAGCCTTGGTGTCCAGGGCCTCAGAGTGATTCGCCCACTGGAGGAAAATAAGTGTTCTCAGCCACCTAAATGGCTAGTTAGACTTTGAGGCTGCTTACAGGATCAGATCCCCTTCAGAATTGAGGAGGAGGGGTGAGGGCTGCCTGTCTCATAACTTCTAGCCAGTGGTTAGAGTGTTAACCTGGGTCTCCCCTCTGCTGGAGGTGAGGAAACGTGGAAGACCACACTTCAAATCCTTTGCAGAGTTCTCTACCATGAGGCTGTTCTAATGTGGAGCTTCTTCCATCTCTCCTGTTTGTACCACTGTGGATTTAAAAAAAAGAGTAACTAGAGAAGGGTGTCCCTCTCCTGGGGCATCTCAACCAGAGTATGTGTACACAGTAGCACGTACCTCGAAATAAGCGATGCAATTTGAGCTACACAAATTGTGTAGCTTATTTCTAATTTACACAGCGCTCATTTTGAAATAAATCGCTATTCTGGTGTCTTCCTGAATCCTTGTGCAACGAGGTTTACAGGAAGCCGGCATAAGAAGCCTGTTATTTCGAATGTATTTTGAAATAACGAGTGTGCTGTTAAGATGCGCAGAATGCTATTTCGGGATAACAGATGCTGTCCAAAATAATGCTGCTGTATAGATGTACCTCCCACTGGTCTACAGAGTCAGTCTCTCTCTGGCCCAATGCTTGTTCCAGTGGGGATAAATTCTTAACCTCTCATTGGGACACAGAAAGAATGAGTGACCCTACAATGCAGTGATTTTGGTGGCCGAATCTCTAGCTTTCTCATAGTGTATCCTCGTAGCTTCAGTGGTAGGGCTGGGTCTTGTAGAGCAGGCAGACTCGAGTTCTATCCCTGTTGCTACCATGAAATTTTGAGTGGGCATAGCATGCAGCTGAGTGACAGCAGAGAACTCCTGCCTAGCTGTGGATTTGTTACCGTGCACCTTGAAAATTGTACCTACCTGCTAACTGTGTGAGAACCCTGGAAAAACAGCCTTTTGGGCTCTTTGTACATCGAATGCTCCAGAAAGAGCATTAGTTGTGTTCTGCTATTGTTGTTCCCGGGAGAAACCAAAAAGTGCCAGTCAAGGTAACTGCAGATGGGCTCAAAATGTAAGGGGTAAATATGCAGTGAATATTTAAGAGGGAAAGAAGAGACGACGAATGCCTGTGCGAAGCCTTATTGACTGTGGAAGACCTCAACATGGAGTTGATCGAAGGACCGGAGCCTACATTTTAAAAAAAACTCTTCACACCACATTAATTTCTTGCCCCTTGTTTCAAGAGTGGGCGTGACAATATAGTATTGATGCACTCTTATCCACACTGAAGATCTCCATTTACCCTTAGGACAGGTACAGCTTGGACAGCGAACGGGGTAAAATTCCAGTGTGACTCAAACCTGATCTGAAGGAACCATGTTTAGACTTGAATACCAAGGGTGCTGGCCTCTGCCTTACTCTTTACTTGACACTAGATCTATAAGAAAACCAGGTGGACACAGTTATATTCTAAATAACCGTGTGTACTAATTGTTCCCAGACTTACAAAGCCTACCTACGTACAGTGCTGCTTTATAACGGTTCTGGTGGCTTTTGCAGGAGAAGATTGGGAAGCCCACTATTGGGTTTCCAAACTACTGACCTGGGTACGCCTCCATTCCTGTACACTGCAGCTTCTCCGAAGTCTAATGGCAGTGTGGGTGATGAGCTGTGAAATTAATAAAATGGACACACTTTCTCCAGGAGCCATCAGATAGACGTCAGTAGAGCCCTGCGCAGATACAAAATTGGTATCCGCATCTGCAGCTGCAGAAATTATATCCATGGATTTTCAGGGCCCATTCAGTAGACTAGTCTTAGCCATCACTCTAAACTGAAAAGTCATGTCATATATCAATTAGGGTGCTGCTCTTCTTCACCTTCCCTTGCTTCCTACTCCCACGGGCTGGGTTGTGTGATAATTGTGGGATCTGCAGGATCCCTGCACTGCTGGCACCAAAGTCCTTATTAAATGTTGCGGGGCCCTCAAGGCATGACAATATGGATGTAAACTCCTGTTTAATTACTTAACTGGTTAAACTTTGATTAACTGGTTAACCGATTTAAACAGGTCGGGGGGAGGGGATGAGCTAGAGCGACCCCCCTGCCCGCTGTGGTTGGGCTGGAGTGCCTCCTCCTTCCCCCCTCCCCCGCACCGCACCCTCCCGCTGAGGTCAGGCTGCTCCAGCCCCAACCAGTTGACCATAACCAGTAAGCCTCCCCCACTCAGGGTGAAGCTTACCAGTTCATCTTTCACATCCCTACATTTCAGGTGTCTCTCTAAAACCTCGGCATTTGCTGAAACCAAGTTGGGTAGGACTTAGCTAGTGTGTAGGACTTATCCAGATCAGGTTTGAGTTACACTGGAATTTTCCCTAGTTTGCTGTACATGCTAGAATTATGGTACCATAACTTCAGACTTCTTCATTGAAAGTACAGCATCTGGTGCTGCTGGGTGAAAGCCAGCAGTTAGCAGCCTCTTCTTTAGTAGGTGAATGCCAAAACTGTGACTCTTCCCAAGCCTTCCCCTTCTAGCAGGGATTCATCCTGACCTGGATTTCTGGATCTCTCCTGCCCTGATTTATTTTGCTCCTCCAGCACTGACTCATAGGAAGATTGGGGAGAGCTGAAGTGGACCATATAGAAAACACGGAAGGAAGAAGTGGGACCAATAATCAGTGAGGATCGGACGGAGACTAAAGATAATCCTGGCATGGCTCAACTCCTAAACAGATACTCTGCCTCAGTTTTTTCGTATGGCTAATGAAGAAGTTGGGGGCAGTGGGAATGAGAATACCGAAGTAGAAATGACCATCTCCGTGGCGGAAGTCCAACTCAAACAGCTTAATGGCACTGAATCAGGGACTCTGGCAATCTCCATTCAAGACTATTCAAGGAACTGTCACATGAAATGGCAAGATCAGTAGCAGGGACTTTGAAGGAATCTGTAAATTTGGGGGGAGGGATGGAGGTACCTTCTGACTAGAACTGCTATTTTTTAAGAAAGAAGAAAGAAATGATCTGGAAAACTCCAGGCCTGTTAGTTTGACCTCAGCTGTGTGCATGGCCTGGAAGAAATTTTGAAAGGGAAAGTAGTTAAGGACCGAGAGGTAAACAGTAATGGAGATAAAACGCAACATGGTTTTACAAGAGGCAGACGGTGCCCGAGCAAAGTGATCTCCTCCTGTGCA